AGGAGTAACCCCTGGTGAGGAGTTCGCGAAAGGAGACGAGGTTACACTGCAGTCTGTCGCACCAGGCAACATCATACAGTCGGAAATATCGTCTGGTGCCCTGGGAGGTCTTGACAAGGATGTCGACATCTCCGTATCCCAAGATCGGTAGCCGGCTGTCTCCTGCCCAGATGGCATCTCCAGGTTCAGCCTCTCGAGAGTTGAGGAATCGGTTTCGCTGGTTGAAGATGTGAATTGTTGATCCTGAGTCAAGAATGGCGGAGTAGTAGAGAGGGTAGTCGTTGATTGCGAATGCTGATTTTGTGACTATGAAACTGCCCTTGATCTCGGTGATCTTCCTTAACTGTCAATCCAGCTGCTCCGTGACAGTAACATCCTCCTTCGTCTTTTTCTCCTCGAAACGGGCCTTCCGTAACTTCTTCCTGATCCGCTCGACCTCTTCCTTAAGGCTCGAGTCGGTCCTCAGGGCTTCTTCAACGGCCATCTTGGTCCGCTGGTTGAACCTGAAGCCTTCAAAGGCAGAGTGTGGGAATACATAGAAACAATTGGACAGGGAGTGACTCTCCTGGCCGCATGCCTTGCAACCCTTCCTTGAGCTGTCGGAACTCCGTCTCTTGCTCGTGCCCCTTGGGGGAGTTTGACGGCGGGCACGGCGTTGCGGCTGTTCCTTCGGTTCGTCCGCATCGGTGTCGACGTCCGTATGGTCGGTGGAAAGACCTGCATATGTCGCAAAACCGCCTCTTATAGGCTTCCTCGCCTGTGCTGCAGCGGTCGTCTTTCCTGCCAGCATGTAGGCGAATGCATTTGACACGTCTCGATACGAGAGACGGTTTCCGGAGATGCGGTGTTGATTCTGGATCTGGTACGACTGGCACCAGGCCTCGTATCCAATGCCACTGACGGCTCTGGTGAAGTCTCTCCACCAGTGGACTGACTTGAACGTATCTGGAACGTCCATCTCGACCGCTTCGATGAATGCTTCTTCCCATGCCGTCAACCAAGCGCGCATGTCCTTCGGGTGTCGGATAAGTGGTTTGACCGCTTGTCGGTATTTGTCGCGAGCTTCTTCGTCTTCCTCGCCCGATGTCGATCCGACCTGTGGTTTTAGTGCTGCGTACCACTCGACGAGAGTCTTCTGTGGACGACAACACGTCTTTCGAAGATGGGGTGCCACCGTGTCATAAACCCAGTTGGAGAGGGTGAGGACGGATTTGGCCTGGATCTGGTAGGCGTCTTTCTGGATCTTGTATCGAGACATCGCAGCGTGGTAATCGGCTTTGCCAGTCTCCGTGAGATTGCTCAGCATGATGTCGTTTTCGGGGTCGTAGTACTGATCCGATTCGTCGTCGTTGTCTCGGCCCTCCTCCTCGTGGAGTCTTGTCTGATTGGCATCTGATCGTCGCTGGTTCCCTTCGAGGATCGCGGATTCGTCTTCTTCCCCATTCTGATCGTTGCGTCTGGGGTTCCGAGTTCGGACGTGTGGGATTTGTTCGAAGTCGCTCATCCGTGGAAGTTGCGGAGCTGTCAGCCAAGGAAGCCTTTGGCTTGACGGCTTGATGTGCTGATCCCATAGGTCGAGGTTCCTCGCCTTCATGATGAATGTGTCGTTCCATCCTCGCCAGTCCTTGGTCGAGGTCAGCTGAACGCTGAATCGTTCGTTCGTGTTCGGTAGCGACATCGTGGGTTCGTTCGTTGGTTCTATCACTCTTTCGGTGATGCCAAAATGCTTGTGTTGGCTGCGGGATTGTCGGTCCGGGAGTTCTAGAGCGTAGCCGGGCTCATAACTGTTGGGCAGCCAACAGTTACATGCTCAAGTAAGCTTAGATCAACCAAATGGTATTGAACAGATTGAGGTATGAAACGAAGCTTGAATTGGAGTCACGATTCCAGAGTGACCACACAAATGAAGGATCAAGAAGATAGTGGGTTAGGGTGCCTCAGAATGTCCCTTTTCTTTTTTCTTGGAACAGAAAATTGTCCTCTCTAATCCTCCCAGGGGAATTACCCCCTTATATAGAGACAGTGTGCCATGATATCACGCTATGTCAGGAACTGTGTCATTGTGATGGATCTGTGCTGACTGAGAGTCTCGCATTGAACATCAGTGCTCAGTCCGTGAATCTTGGTGCCAAGGAACCCACTCAGTTCAACAGGCAGGATGCAATGTAAGTGCAATGGGGGTGCAGCGGAGCGTACGAAATACACCAGGCTAGGCGCTGGATCAGGCTGCCGCAGGTGCGGGCGTGGGAATGCTAGTTGAACTGGGAATGCTAGTTGAATTGGGAATGCTAGTTGAACTAGGAATGCTAGTTGAACTGGGAATGCTAGTTGCCAGCGCTGTCAAAACTTCTCAGGCTATCATAGCGCTGTAAACTAGCATACTCACCCCCTTCAAAACCCCGCTGCGGTACCCAGCGAATTCATACCTCCCGTCCATCAAGTTTTCGACGATCCCAGAACCGGTCGGAACCTGCAGGGCGATGACCGCTGATATGCGCTGGAAGAAGCTATTCCGAGTCAAAGCAGTGGATTGAATTGAAAGATGGTAAAGTGCTTGATCGGCCAATGGGCATGGGAGAGGACTAAGTAGTGTAGGTACTGTAAGAAGGAGGGGTTGCGGTGCTGGCACCAATCAAACACCGAGGTCCGTTGAATGCAGCAGCCATCAAGGCGTTCCCACAGAACCATCACAGTTGCACCCATCTGCAACGCAATCCTATCACCATGTCGGACACAACGGCACCCACTCGCAAAGGCCGCGTCCTCGGTGCCCTGCTCGGCGTGCACGCGGGCGACTCCCTCGGCGCGACGTTCGAGTTCCAGGCCTGGGAAAACATCCGCGCAGACCATCCCCACGGCATCCGCGACATTGTCGGCGGCGGCCACTTTGACTGGCCGGCTGGCCACGCAACCGACGACACGGATCTCACCCGCGCCGTGCTACTGGCCTATCGCGATTATGTGAATTTGAAGCAGAGGCGCGCTCCGTCTCCTACACCGCCAGACCTCGTAATGCTTGCCGCGTGGCACATGGTCGATTGGTACGACGGGATCTGGCCGGACAGGGTCAAGGGGCAGCGGCCGAGGGACGTCGGGGGCGCGACGGCGTCGGGGATCGCCAAGTTCAAACAGAGCGGTGACCCGAGGAGTTCGGGCGCTGGAGAGGGGCGGGCTGGGAATGGGTCGCTTATGCGGTGTATTCCGACTGCGTTATTCCAGGACGACGAAGGCATGGCGTTTCTGGAGTCGCTCCAGATATCGGCTATCACGCACGACGACTTTCATTGTACTATCTCATGTGCGGTGTACAACGCCATGGTGAGGGCGCTGGTGGATGGGAAGACGCCCAAGGAGGCTTGGCAGGCGGGGAAGGATGCCGTGGAGCGGGCAATGCTTCTAGTTGAGGAGGAAGAGACGGCGTCTCGGAAAGTCAAGATGAGTCGAGCTGTGAAGAAGGTCGAGGCGGCTATCGATGCGGGCAAGAGTCTCGTGACGGTGCAGGACCTGGCCGAGAACGGACTTAGAGAGGCCGCGAACGCAGCAAACGCCCTGCCGTTCCAGGCGTCGGGTCATGTCCTCGAGTCGCTGACGCTTGCGGTTGCGGCCATGCTGGACCCGCGCGGGCTGGAGGACGTGCTCGTGGATGTGGTGCGGATCGGACAGGATGCAGATACGAACGGGGCCATTGCCGGTGGATTGCTCGGGGCGAGGGATGGTGTCGGCTCGATACCGTTGCGGTGGAGGAAGAAGCTGCAGTTTGGGAATGAGTTTGAGGAGGTTGCAGACTATCTCTTTTCTCTTCTGGAGGGCGGAAACCAGGCCCGGCGGTGACGGTTTCATCCTCGTCCACTGTCTTTGCTCCCAGTTGACCGAACGTTTGTGTGCTTGGACGAGCATTCCGAGCCCAGAGCTGCCTGACTCTTCATGTGCTGAGCTGCCCAGCGCAGAAGTGACGAGTTTCATTTCGATTATATTACTACCTGCCTCCTTCGGGTCTATTTGGCGAAGGTGGGATAAGGATATCACCGCCAGTGTCCTCCAACTATGTCTAGACCCCGAAGAGCAGGTTCTGGGAGTTTCCCCATGCAACCTGATATCTAGAGCCCCAGCACCCGGATATCGTTTGACGGCCGAGACCAAGCTAGGTGCAGCAAAGCGAAGACTCGCCAAACAAATGACACGCCAAGCAGTTGACACTTTACCAATAAATGAAATCTTTCGAGTTGGACCCTGATGCGCGGTAAGCATGCCACCCGATGACCCGGTTCTTCCGCGCGCACATAACCGAGGTTCGTCGGGTGACAAAAGTCGCCATTCGGTCTTCACGTCAGAGCAATGTCCAAAAATAGCCCGACCACAGGGTCATTTCGGTCCGAGACATGGTGTACCACCAGGAAGCGCCTAACTTCAGGGTGCTGTCGGAACCAGCTCCAAGAGAGTCAACTCCCTAAGTGGCTGGGAAACGTTGCAGTACTTTGACTCGAATATTGCGCCTCTGTTAACCAATCGCCTGCCTTTATCCTGTTCTCTACTTCTCAAGCAACTGGGTCCAAGCGCCCGTTGACGCCCGCATGATGGTGGGGTTGGACTCTTGGTGTCAGCGACTTGTGCAGACTCGGGGACGGTATTGCAGTCTGACCCATGAGACCTCGACGAAGGCGCCGCCGCGTTGGGCTTGAAGTTTGAGCCGAGAAGTTGGGACACAACCATCCAACGGCTGTCGCATTCATGCTTCTGCATTTAGGTTAAGATGTGTATGCAAACCCTTCCTGTTACACATGGGACATCTGATGGACTCCGACTCCCTCGAAATCCGACCACACTGCAACCGAATTAGATAAGAAGTACCCCAACTGTAATAATGAGGCGGCGAGCTGGCGCGGAGTGTGCATGTTAATATCGGCATGATATGACAAGTGACAGAATGTCGATAGATTCACTAGGACTTAGAGGTGTGTTACCAATGCAGTGAGGTAGCAGATAGCCATCACTCGGCTAGGCTCAACGGGACACGGGACAGCTCACTGTATTATTTCACTCAAAGTCTATTGCTTGCCTTTCATCAACGTTATGCAAGCTTCTCTAACACCAAGATGGAAATGGCTGCGGCGGCACTGGTCTCATCGCGCTCGCCTACCTACATTACATCGAGAAGCCTGGAGCAGGCCTAGAAGTCTTGACTACGAGATTGTAACACTCCAAGTCGGCTTCGCTTCCACCATTTCCGATATGATATGCGATGAACACCAGGAGGGGAATGGTGGTAAATCTGCTCCTCGGAATGTATCCGGACATCCAGAAACATCTCGAGACAGGGCGAGGGTGGAAGGGGAAAGGTCTCTAGCCATCATAATGTCCATGTTGATCTATAAGATGGTCACCCTCGAACTTAAACTTTAACTCGGATCATCTCTCCTGCGATAATATCGTTGTTACAGACTTGGTAGGTGCCAGCTTCTCCACTACATTAAGTAACTGCTGTCAAGCCCCGTCCCTACGATGCATTTTTCTGCCTTCCTCCTCGCCGGTACTGCCGCCGCTGCAATGGTCCAGCCCGGCCGTCGCACCCTCGCTGCTGCGCCGCCTCCGCCGAGCGACATCAAGATTCTCAATGTCACCGCCATTGGGTCGGGCTGCCCGGCCGGCCATGCCTATGTCAACGTCGATGCCACCCGCACCGTCTTTGACATTGCCTTCGACGAGTATATTGTCTCGGCCGGCCCGGGAACAAGCGTCTCCGACAGCCGCAAGAACTGCCGCATCAGCATCAACCTGCAGTTCCCGTCCGGTTACCAGTTCTCCGTCATTGAGACGCGCTTCACGGGCTACGCTAGCCTCTCGGACGGTCAGACGGGAACCTGCCGTGCGGGCTACACGTTTGCCGGCGACAACCGGCAGGAAGTTGTTTTCCAGAAGAACTTGGTCGCTCCGTACGAGGACAACTACAACATGATTGCCGGTGTCGGCGTCGAGTCTTTCTCGCGCTGCGGCGGCACCACGGCCATCCTCAACGTCAACTCGGAGATCCGCATCACGCCCATCTCGACGCCCTATCGGGGAACCATGACGGTGAGAAACCCCTACACTGCGACGATTCAGTGGCGCCGCTGTGACCCCGTCGAGTTTTCTGAAGTTTGACTTTGTATCTGTCGTCATGCGCCTTGGGGTCTTGTGTTTTCCCTTGGCTTCCTTCTTCTTTGAGTTCTGTGTCCTTTATTTACTTTGCTATGCGAAAGGGGGGAAAGAAGGAGACAGATAGGAAAAAAAGGGGCGAGCTGCAGGCTCCATTGCTGTACGAATGAGCACTTTGGCTAATGGGGGACGAATGCGACACATTGCTAGGTGGACGCCTTCGACGGAAGCCTACACCTCGTCTTCCGCACCAACTGGCAGACCTGCCGTTAAACCTGAAGGCAAGTGGCAGAGGCGTTGTGCCTTCAAGGAGGGTTGAGGCTTGGAGGAAGGGATGTGGTAGCCAAGGGGTGTCATCTGGGGCGGTGACGGGTCTGGGACTCGGAAGGAACCTGAAGTGTGAGCGATTTTGGTCGTGGATTTTTGGATGGATGTTGACTAGCATGATAAATGATTCTATGACACTTTTGCTTATATCAATATCAGAGAGTGCCATCAAGGGAGTCAGAACAACTGTTATATTTGCTCACTTACTACTACCTGTTGCTCAAGTGTGTGATGTGATCCTGAGGACCCAGGCTCACCGGACGAATTCTCCCTTACTGTCAACACATTTAACATGCCTCGTTGTCATAATCAGTCCAAAGGATAGATACTCCAGTTAGCCGCAGATGACACACCAAAAACAGAGGTAACGTTACTGGTTCGAATTGGGGCTAATTGACTGCCAGTAGATATACTTCCAGGATCCGAGAAGTGAGCGCACCTCCTGATCCAGAGATGGACAATTGTAGTTTTACAAGCAATACCTTGCCGGCTAACCCAGCCTACCTGTAGTCTATCGGAGACTCAGCCATGGTGAGTCCTTGCGAGATGATGTTCACACGTACGCTTTGAGCCCCAGATTGATGTGTTTAGCATGAATGCTATTGCTTCCCCATATGGAACCTTTAGGGAACATTTAGGCAAAACAACATCCCCACAGATCTGAGCAGATCGACGTCAGCAGGCCGACACCGTGCATGGACAGCGTAACACCCCTTCGGCACTTCTGCCGCGTTTATTGTCCGCGTATTGCCGGTCTCATAACCAGCAACACATGGCCAAGCTGCAACATATGTGAAACCAAGCCCCGATTCGTCACGGCAGTGAACGTCAGGGCTGTGTTTCTCGGCTGTAGCATTTTGCGGGGAAATACCACCAAGTTTTTATTTACCTTAAGCTTCGGTATAAATACACAGCTCGAGGCTAAGCACATGCTGTATACCGTCCAAGTGATCTCACCACTTGGAGATTACCGGAGTCTATATTCCTCTGACTATTACTTTTGACCATACGGTCCCTCTTTTCACTAGGCACTACACGAGAATCATAACCAACCTTGCAGATATCGAGTTTTTCTAACGGTATGCTCCTTTCAACCACTTCACCCTGTACCCGGTTTGTGCCCGTGAAAAGGGCCCGGGGTGTAGCAGGGGTACGATCCATGTAACAATGTCCGAAGGGCTTTTGGAGATTAAGATAGATCCCGCTGAGGCATCCGGCAGCCTTCCACCGAGACTATCTCCGTATTCCCGTTTTTGACACCCGTTCGTCCGGACTGTTGCGTTGCAAGTTGAGTCGAAGCAGATATAAAGTTGACGCCCAAGTTGGAGTCAGGATCTTCTTCACAGCATCCCCAACCCATCTCTGGAGTCAGAAACATATACTGCCCATCATGAAGATCGCTGCCGTTGCCGTTCCAGTTCTTGCTTGCCTGGCCAGCGCCAACCCCGTCGACCTCGACACCCGCCAGTCCTGCCCGCAGGTTCACATCTTCGGCGCCCGCGAGACGACGGCCCCCGCCGGCTACGGCACCTCGCAGGGGCTCGTCAACATGGTCAAGCAGGCGTATCCGGGCTCCACCAGCGAGGCCATCAACTACCCGGCGTGCGGCGGGCAGTCCCAGTGCGGCGGCGTCAGCTACGACAACTCGGCGAGGCAGGGCACCCAAGCCGTGGTGCAGGCCGTCACCAGCTTCAACCAGCGCTGTCCCAACACAAAGATTGTCCTCATCGGCTACTCGCAGGGCGGCCAGATCATGGATAACGCCCTCTGCGGCGGTGCCGGCGCCACCCTTACCGGCAATGCCCTCGCTGCCGTCAAGGCCGCCATCTTCATGGGCGACCCGCACAATGTCGTCGGCTTGCCATACAATGTCGGCACGTGCCAGGCTCAGGGTGTAAGTGAAAACATTGCATGAGTGTATGGGACTTGAGACTGAGTGTCAATAGTTTGCCGCTCGGCCCCGCGGGTTCCAGTGCTCCCCGGCCAGCCCGTCCATCATCCAGTCGTACTGCGATTCGACCGACCCCTACTGCTGTACCGGCAACGACGCCAACTCGCACCAGCAGTATGTCAACAAATACGGCCAGCAAGCGCTGGCATTTATCAAGAATAAGCTCGGTGCTGCTTGATCTAGCCGCTTTGGATGGGAGTGAAATGCAACGGGTCGTACATAGCACGCCACGTCTGCATATACAAATACCAGAACACATTCACCTCGTTGATATTGAAGTCTGTATTTAATCCTATTCCAGTCATTCACCATATACAAGATCATCTGGACTCTTAGTCCGTTCAATCCCTGAGCTTCTCCGCCCAGCTTCCTCCACCCTTACAGTCGGTTCGCCGCTGTGTAATGCTGCAGAAGTGCCTGCGCTTCTTGAAACTCCCTCTGAATTACACGAGCATGTCCCTCCGAGCGCGGCTTGATGGAGCATTCAAAGGGCAAGGGGCTCGAGTTGAAGCCGTCCGAGAAAGCAAAGCTGAGTCCATCAGCATCACACACCGAGAGAACAAGGAAGCCGTTCTGGCATATTAAGGTACCCACATATCCACATCAATTTTCTCACCCTTGTCGTTCAGCGCCGGCTTCACCTCAAACGCCCACAATATCCGGGCGATGTTGATGGCCACCGACGCCGAACCGAGGTGAAGACCGGGACAGATGCGGCGGCCCCAGCCAAAGGCACTGTGGCCCAGCGTACCGGGGTACTCGCGATGATCGAGAAAGCGCTCGGGCTGGAACTGGTGGGGGTCCGGGAAGTCGGATTCATTGAGATGGACTAGCAGGATTCAGTTCGTGGCCGAAAGCGATGGATTTGGGGCTGTCCTTCACTTACTGCTCCACAACGGCGCAATGACGGTGCTTCCCTTAGGAATGAACATGCCCTTGTACACATCGTCGGCCGTGGTTGCGTGGGGAGTGCCGCCGAGGACGGCAACCGGTCGCCAGCGGAGGGTTTCGGAGACGATGGCCCGCACATACTCCAGGGAGGCCAGGTCGTCAAAGGTCGGCAGTCTATCGTCTCCTACCACTCTATCGAGCTCGGCCTGGGCTTTTGGGATGAAGTTGTCGCCAAACTTGACGCAGGCGAGCAAGAAGCTCGCGAGGGAGCCAGCCGACTGCGAGATGTCAGTCTCCATGTTGCCCAAGGGACTGAACCGGGACAACACACTGTCTCGACGCCTGCACCAAATGGAGTGCCCGCGGTGTAAGCAACCTCGTGGTCAGTCATCCCGAGGTTGTGCTGCTCATCTAGGAGGTTCTTGGCAAAGCACTTTGGTAGAGTGCCCGCGGCCAACCTTTGCTTGACATCTTCCATAAGACCCGTGTACATATGGATGTCCTTTTTGCGCTGCTCGAGCACCTGGGCCTTCCAAGGAGCAAAGATGCTGGGCACGTACTTGAGCGCCGGATACCGCTCAACGGCGTACTTGCCGGGGATGCTAGCGAACGTTAGCAAACCATTACCCTCAGTAAAATGTAAACTGGATCTTCCCACTTCACTTGGGTCAGCCGATCCATGGCCTCGGCATTTATCTTGACAACCGCATCCGTCCGCACATCCTCGACTCTGCGCCCGTACGTCACCGTGACAACCACCGACGCAGCATACCGTTCGAGGTGTGTCCGGTAGTTCTTTGGATCCACCAACAGCTCATGCGTGAGCACCTTGGACTCAAGACTCTGAATCGGGCGGTAGTTCTCGCTCTGGCGCTGCATGAAGCCGCTGTGCAGCAGCTTGCGCCACCGTCTCCAAAACGCAGAGTACGGCGCCATCAGGCCGCGCATGCCGCCCGACAGCAGCTCGCCGCCCATGATGAAGCGCGGCCGCGACGAGTAGATGGCCCCGCGCTTCTCGAGCAGGTCCCAGGCCGCCTGCGCCGAGCCCAGGATGATGGTTGGCGTCGGGCCCATCTGGAGGTACACCACGTCGCCGTACTGCTGGTTCAGCTCGCGAAACCATATCCACGGCTTTCGGATGCCCGTCTTGATGGTTTTGGGTCCTGGTGGGAGCTGTGAGCGATGAGACCTCAGCCGCCATTGTTGCTGCAGCTGGGACTCGGAAGAATTCAGGGGTCAGCATCCCCACATGTTCGCCCAGTCTGTTTTGGCGTAGATGCTTACCCGGGGGAACTCTAATACTAGGTATGAGAGGGCAATGGCAAGCCCTAAGCTCAAGGCAATGACTTCGAGCATTTCGGGAGTTCCTATTTATTTTTGGATCTAGGTGAAATAACAGCAGCTGTCAGTGACAGAGACAAGTGTGAGGTGCCAGCACTAAGTACCTGCAACGGAAACCCCTCTGGGATCGGAGTAGTGCAACTGCCGTTCTGCTCCGGGCACTAATTCAGTCTTGGCGGAGCGCTATCCTGAAGGATCTGGACTCTCCGCTTCCTGGTTCCCGACATGCCGAGTCCATCTTAAGAGACCATGACAGGGCATGTGCAAAAGGCTAGCATTGTGTTAGACAACAGACATCGAGCATCTTGAAGAGATGTGGATAAGGTAAACTGTTATCCGAGAATCAGATTCGCAAACTTGCCTTACTTCTAGCTTCACGCTGTGCTAGCTGTGGCAATTAAATCCCGAGTGTTTATCCCTAGTTATAAGTCTCGACCGGAAATGGTTCGGGTACTGATTCCCGCTCCTCAGCTTGCCTCCCGAGTATGGAAGCCGATAGGCACAAAACGAACATAACTACTTTAGTACTAGCGCGCTTACTACATTTACGCCCTCAGTGTTCCATTATTCAATGCTTTACTGCATCAAACCTCTATGCAATGAATGGTACTCAACAGTAGGAGGCGTTGCAACTAACCAATACGTAAGCCACACAGCACAGCCAACACACAAACTTTGCTTAATTAAACTCGTGCAAAGAAAATCCCTCAATTTCAGATCATCGGGTTACACCAAATAACTCAGCATAACGCGGCAATACAGCAACGGACATGGCGAGCAACGTTCGTTCTGGTGACGCCGATGAACTCGGTTGTCCCGTCGACCACAGCAAGTTCAAGCGTCAGAATCTCGATTCTCGCATTTGCCCGATCTGCAACGTACGGCTCACGACACTCGATTTAAATTGCAGACCTGTCCTGCATGCCCAAGGTTCTACACCAGAAGTCATCGATTTGACGAGCTCGCCCGAACGCCCCCGTGGTGCGTTGTACAGCTGTGTACAACCATCGCAACTCTTCGTCCCTGGGCGCCGAAACGCGGCGTATACCAACACGCGTAGCGGAACCCCTAGCCTCAGCTTCGTTGAAGCAGCAGAGGCTAGTATACGCGAGCGTGACCGTAGTGCTCGTCACCTTCGGAACGCTGATAGCTCGCCACGACTGTCAATTGCAATCACGACGACCCTCTATATTGGCCAGTACACTACCACTGATGTAGAGGACGACATGGGCTTCCTGAAGTTCTCTGTCATTGGCATGAAGGCCAAGTATCACCCGGTCCCATTCGTTGCGACCGAAGTCTACGACAGCATCGATGCGTTCAGCAAAGCACTCCTCCGCCGCTCGACTGACGACTCCGTAGTCCTGTCCAAGGACTGGCGCCTGATACACTCTGTTTCGCAAGGTCCCAACCCAAACATCACGCAACTCTCGCAGCCTCCTCCTGGCCCGCTTACGACACAAGAGATTGTCGATTTCGTCTTTGGCCGGCCTATTGTTGACAATTGTACTCTTGTTCTCTTCCGAGGGTACGAGTCTGTACAACGGGTACCAAGGGTCGTAAAGGAAAGGTTAAGAAAGAGGAAGTTAGCGCTGAGCAAAACTCGACTTTGCGCTACAAACAGTCAAGAAACGAGAACATTGTTGGCCGTGCAGAGGTGGGTACTACCAAGGGGGAGATAATCGTCAAACAGGAGGCAGCTGTTGAGGAAGAGGGAGACATCGTACAAGATGTTGCAGCATCCTTGTCGCAGGTGAAGGAGGAGACAGGTGCGGATATAAAAACTGAACATGATGGTACTCGCCAGAGCCAGGAAGGTAATTCTGGTGTTAAGGTTGAACGTGGCAATGCTCGCCAACCGAAGGCCCAGACTCAAGTGCCATTCCAGACCGTTACACGAAACATGAAGCGAAAACACTCGGCTAGCGAGTAGCAAACTGAACTCTCCTATGTACATTAGAAATCAGTTCCAATCTCCTCTCTCTCCACCTGATTCACTCTATCTAAATCAATACGCTGTTCGTCGAAGAAGGAACGAATGTGATCAAGACCTCCAACAGGGTGCTCAACGAGAGAGAGCCGTGGTTCCGTCTGTGCCCTGTTATAGTCTCTGAGCTGATCCCTGAGCCGAATATACTGCTCTAAGTATGGTTGGTCCTCAGAGACAGTACTAGGCAGCTCACCCCAGGATGCAACAATGTTGTTACAAGTGTCCATTGTCCTCGGAGGCAAATACTCGTCGAGATCTACTTTGTCCCAGTCCACAATACGCTGCAGTTCTGCAAGCGTTTCGGGCGGTACTGGTACACGGTAGTCTGTAGCCTTGCTGAATGACCAGAGACAATATGGCTTGCCAGACACAACGTGTGTCCTGTTGCGTTGCTTTCGGATACGATGACTGTTCCAAAGCTTGACGAAGTCTATAAACTCGTACCGGATACGTGGCATATACCAGTAAAGTAATGCAACGCGATCTTCAATCCGAGTACGAGAAAAGAGACCTTCATCTTGCAGCCGGCTAAAGAAGTTCTGAAGATAAATTGATTAGTTAGTAACTATCTATGGTTGCAACTATCTAATATAGTAGAAGACGATCACTTACTCGCCAGAACATTGAACGACCTTGACACAATTCTCCCCACCACCGCTCAATCTTTACATTCTTCGTTCCATCACCGTAGATGAAGCAGTCCGCGAACTCCATCTCGTTATGGTCGCCGCTTTCGTTAAGCTCAACAATAGCTGGGTCGGTAGCTGGAGGAGAATGAGAACGAGTAGTTTCGCGGCGGTTCCGTCGGAGACGAAGTTTGTGAACCTCGGAAGCGAGAAGGTACTGTGTCCCTGCATGGAGTGTCGTTTCAACTCCATGGTCTGAACGGAGAGCTAACGGCATAAACCCGTAAGAGCTTAGCACAGCAATGTACTGTGCAAAGACGTTTCGAGCTGTTCTTGCAGAGACTCCGATGTAGAACCATGTAATGTATCGAGAGTACGCGTCAATCCCTGCATAGATCTCGATACCAAAGTATTCCAACTTGCAATACTGTGACGAATCTCAAAGCCCCAACTTCTGAAAGGGACTCCTGAAGGTTATACTTGACAACGGGGTGAGGTTCGGTGAAGCCAAAGGGTTCACAACAAGCAATGTCCAAGGGTGCTGACAATCCTGCACTTGAGTTGCTTACTGGAGAACTCCCAGAGTCCTCCAGAACGAGTGACTATATACTAGATGCATTTGGTTGCTCTCTCGTGCTCTCTAGAGCCACCTAGAGCCAATGCTTTATGGTGCTCTCGAGAGCCTCTTAGAGCGTCCTCTGATTGGCCTTGCACTGGTGCTCTCTCATGCTCCTGAGAGCTCTCTGGAGCACCTCTAGGACTCGTTCCGATTGGTCCTAAGTGATTGGCTCGAAACGTCCTACGTTCCCCACTGGCTTCTGCAAGTAAGCCGCCGTTGTTGACTCTCGTTGGTTCATTTGTGACAAATACCCATCAACGGACCAGATGTAGTTGGGGCCTGGTACAGTCCAACCAGACCGCTTGCGTTCAGCACGGGCACGACGATGTGCAATTGCATCTTCGTGAAACTCAGCGTACACTGCCCGTAAAGAGTCGCGTGGGATGTTGAAGAAACGCTGGCGCATATGGACGTAAAGGGAACGATATCCCATATGGCGAACAATGTTTGTAGTAGTGCGCTCTCCTTCGAAGAACTCGCGGACTTCGGCCATTGCAGTTGCAAGTTGCTCTGCGTTATGACGTCTGTATAAACCAATTTCCCATCGAATCTCCTGAACTTTGCGACTCGAGATCTAAAGTTCTACTTGTTAGTACACTATTGTATTATCGGCCCACTACGGTACATTACCTTCGTTCCTTCTTGTTCTAAAGCCTTTACAATCTCGGCATCTGTTAAGGCATGCTGAAAGAAGAGTGCTTCAATTCGCTCCTTAAGGTCAGGAGTCACTTCTGTTCTAGGGCGCTGGCGCGGTACACCCCATGACTGGAGAAGACGACGAAGATGCGTAGGAGTGATTGAGACTCCGGTTTCATCAAGAAGATAAGATGTAATAGCCTGAGAGGTTGCACCAGACTGGTACAAGCTGGTGATCTGGGGACGATGCTGTTCCCAATTGAGACGCGGAGGACGAGGCATTACGACACTTTACAAATGTGAACGCGAAAACAAAATTAGAAAGAGACCAAGTGAGAAAATTTTGCCAGATATTAAGTGGGGCGTAGTCTTAGCATAGCGTGTTTCTGGTGCAGAACTCGCCAAAACGATACGCTATTCGTAGACATGGGCTGCTACAGGCAAGACACCGACGTAAAACAGGAGTCTACGCTAGAGAATGCTCAAAAACGGACGAACGCCCTACACAGGAATACTCTCAACTAGCAGAAGGAAAAGAGAGCCCGTAACCCAATGCATCTCACATCCCAAACTCCGTACCACAAAGACCCAATCGTAATCGTCGTAATCTCCAGCCCCAGAAGCTCAAATGGTGCTGCCACGACGGTCAAGTTCTAGGCGACCGTCCTTAACGATAGCCTCCAGCTCGGCTGTCGGCATAGAACAGAAGAGAATGCGGAAGAGCTGCTTGGCAGAGGTACCACTAGGTGCCGCTCCAGACTGGTGAATATGGTCCTCGTTCTGGAGCCGAGCACTGTCGTGGCGGAAACCACTAGCGCTAGTACGGGGGCGAGGACGCTGCTCGGATGGTGATATATCGGTTCGGGCACGCTTGGTACCGCGCTGAACAGTTCCTGATACGTTATAAGCATTTATAAAGATGAGACAGGAGAAAAACATACCAGTCTCGTCAGCGCCGTTACGTAGGCTGCACTGGGCAGCACGTGAATGATATTGGCAGTTCGTACAAGCGCCACTGAACTCGCCCGTCGCAATGCATGACCGGAACGGGCCGACACTCGAAGCGTTCTGGCAGGTAGTACACGAGACCCCGTTATTAGTCTGTGCGAGCTTTGCATAGGCAGCAATAGCTAATGTAGATTAGTACAACAAATGTAAGACAAACAATAATAATAAACATACCAGTACGCTGCTGAGGACGACCCCACTTGAGTACAGGGTACGGCGTGCCGTCTGGACCCTGAGCACGCTCCTTGACCTTAAGGAGACGAACAATGTACCGGATCTGATGAAGGTGAGTACGATCTTGAAAATGTTACAGGAGAGGGAGAACATACTCCACCACCAGCGCGTAGGATTGACCAAAGCAAGTTTTCATCGGGACTAGATCGGGCGAGATTGTTGAGGATGTATGCGGTGTACATCAGAGGGTTACGAGAGGGAGGCGTAACCCCTGAAAGCGCCGCTACTGGGAGGGTCTGATCGCCGAGTACCCAATTATACTCGTTCTTCTGTGTGGTCGTTCTGGCTGGTTGGCGGCCAAGACGAGGAGTGTCGTCTTCTAGATCGTCATCCTCTATGACAGAGGCGGAAACCATGTCCCGACGAGAACGATCTGCGACATGGCGGGAGCGATGTGTCGAGGTATTGTCAAAGTCGTGTAAGCTGTCGTCCTCGCGGGTACCCGTTGCAGCCGGACGAGAACTAGGCTTGGCCGGTGTATCGGGACCGGTACCTGCGGCAGAACTAGCAGGAAGAATGTTCGTTAAATTACCGCCCTGAGCGACAGTGCTCATGCCCGCTAAAACGCGAAGGAAGTTGGCCAACTGGTCCTGCGGGATCTGCGCAAGCTGCGCGAGAATTTCGTTTTGCTGAGTAGGGCGCTGTATTCCGCTGGCCATTGGAATATCCGACATGTTTGCCGCCGTATCCGCAATCGAACCAGCAGGAACGTCAGTGCTAATTTCGTTCTCGCCTGGGGAGGCGGGGTCCTCGTTTTCCCCCGTCATAGAGGGGACATCGACCGGCTGAACCTCGGGATTTTCGGTAATGGGCGGGGCGACCGCGGACCGGTCATCATCAGAATCAGACATCTTGTATTCGCGGGTGTTGTCCTTGTACTGCGGGTTTTTTGCAATTGCGGAAGGTCTCGTGGGGAGAGTGGGAGTCGTACTGCAGCTACAGGAGGAATACGCGTCAGTACTAGAATGTATATCGAAGCTTGGTGGTAAGCATACCCAAAGGTGGCTCACTGTTGTGGAGGAAGAGGAAGTTGGGGAAGATTTGTGGCGGTGCGGCTGCATATGCGATGCAGGAAATCAATTCTCGGCTCTGATTGGCCAGCGTTGGGCTTTGTCTTTAAGATGGATCAAAGATGTAGTAATGGGGGTTACGCTAGTGTTATTCTAATCACACCCTGGTGCAAGCTAATCAAAATGGTCGCAGTGCTCGAGTGCTAAGGTGGTTATGTTCGTTTTGTGCCTATCGGCTTCCGTATTCCGAGTCCAAACGGGACGACCCTATTTCCGAGATATTCACCTAGGCTGCCTGCCACCACCTGCTCTGAGAGACTCGTTACCATTGCATTTCCTCCTTATGCTGGTATTAGGTCTTGACAACTTGTCATCATGGAGTTCAGGTTTCACTTGTAATTTCGACCTGCTAAGCTTGATCTTGACTTGCCTGAGACGCGATTAGCACCTGAAAATCGCAATTTCAATTGCATCTCATAGATATTACCCAGAGAACAAATTGGACAACAGCAAGTAGGTTCCCTTAGTTTAGTTACCCCCCAAAGAGTATATTAGCCCTATGTATCTATGTGCGGTAGGCTGCTGGCTGATTTTTGCGTTAGAATGGTGTCGAACGAAAAAGGAGCCTTCGCAGTACCGGGCAATGCCAAGGCGGAACTGGCGGTTGGCGCTCACAGTGAAGAAGCCTCCCGACACTGTGGGTCAAGTGGGAATAGCTTCATCCAGGGGGTTTGGCAGACCGTTGTTGTACGAGAGCTGGCCGAAGATCACCGAGGCCCATCTCGGGCCCAGCCCGTTACAGTCTCTTTTGTCGATAGTACCCGGTTCTCCTCTTCTGAGCTACGGCCAATTGTTTGTAGGTTCAGGAGCCTCTTCCAATGAGCGCTTAAGGAAGGATGGAAGGGAGGACGGGAGAAAATCGGTCGCGCCCCTGCCTTTCCGCCGGTCGCTCCTCATTTCGCCTCATTTCACTTCCTTTCAAAGGGAAGGGGGGGGCGGGAGGAGGGGATGAGCGGATGGAACTTTTTCTCGCCCGCAGGCACCGGATGTTGAACTGAACTGGCTCCTTGGCCCCCGGATTCAGGTGCTGGGCACTGTTGCCCAATGCAGTAAGCGTGGAAGACTCGTCACCCACCCAAAAGCATGGTCTGGCGAGGGTCCCGAAGCCCTCGGTTCTTTAAGCAACACAGACACATGACGCATGGTTCAGACAGCCAATTCAACTTTATCTTGTGCCTCAATTGATGCAGTGTCACCTGGTTGGTCTATGCCTATTCAAGCCTATAACTGTTGCTGTCCAACAAGAATCCATCGTCGATGTGCTCCTCAGAGGGAGCCATAAGAAACTGAACAGCGAACACAATGGATTTAGTCGAGATGTTACATACTATCAATCCATCGCCGCATCGCGTCGTGCTCCAACTAGGCAGAATCCAATTTTTTTGGGGCTCAAACTCGAGCGGCCTCTCGATGTGTCTCATACTTGGCGTAAGCGCGGCAGAAGCTAAGGTACTTTAGCTCGAGCTTAGGAAGCTCGACCCTCATCAACCACTCAGCTTCCAAGCTCCCTTTTTCGCACCCGCATTGACTCCATTGAGTCGGCGAGCCCGTAGCTCCACACTGAGGGACATCGTGACATCGTTCAATATTTAGCTACAGTTATCGGCCTCAGGCTCGCCAGTGCGGGCTATGCTACAACGCAGCGTCCAGACCAGCCGCAGCCTTAATCCGAGTAACAAAGTTGACCCACAAGTGCCTGCAAAACTCGCATGTTAGTGTCATCTTCGCCGACTACTTCACCCAACATTCGGCCTTCTAAGCTCGTTGATTGGATGGTCCCGGTAATGATGAGATCGCCAACTTCCTCTCCGAGTAGGTGGTTACAGCAAAGCTAGAAACGAGTGGCGCGAGGTCCGACTCGGGGTAAACTTGATGCACCATCGCGCAAGGTGAGACCCGGGCACATGGAGAGGCCTCACCAGGGAAAAGGGAGGCTGATCGGTAGCCCAAGACCTTCAGGTGAAAATAAAGTGCCTGACGTTCGCCATGTCGACGACTCACTATTTCATTTCTCATCATCACCATCCTGAACCCTTCACAACACCAGCAGCCAAGTGATACTTCAACTCCTTCCACGTCACAAGCAGCGGAACCTCCCCGTCGGAAGCATCAGCACACAGAGCTCCTTGCTCTCTCAACCTTCAGCATGCGCACCACCACATCATGGTTTGCTTTCGTAGCGGGTGTCCTCATTTCGGGCCCTCAATCTGTTCTTGGCCAGAAAACGCCCAACGAGAACCTCGTCTTGGCTGATTGCGGTATCGGTCTTGGAGTCAACGGCGGGTCGACGTCGCGTGAGATGATCTACTACCCGGGTGACGTGTGGACGGCCAACGGCCAGACGAACAAGCCGACCATGATGGTCAACGTCCCCTGGAACGGTGCCTACCCCTGGGGTCCTCAGGGCGCCTTCGCCACCATGCCAAACGGCGACAAGTGGAGCATCTGGATCAACGACAAAATCAAGGACCCCAACGCGGCCGGCGACGCCTACCACAGCATGGAGTCGAACAAGCCGCTCAAGTGCTACTCGTACCACAAGGATAAGGTTTACCAGCTGGCTGACGGCAAGTGGTGCTCGAGCGCGTACGTGTGCAACCATCGCGGCTCGCCCAATGTCTTAACAGTCAAGCCCGGCAGTGGCGGCGGCGGCGGCGGTAGCGGCGGTAGCGGTGGCGGAAAGGACGAGACGCGCATCACGGCCTCTACCAACGCAGACTCTGTCGAGCTGTACGAGACAACGGCCAACAATATCATGGCCACGGTCAGGAAGACCTTCAAGGACGGCAGCACCGACTGCGACCAGACGCCCATCGGCATCGGATCCAAATGCACCATTAAGTGGAAGTGTCATGCGGCCGACTCCAGAATTAACGCTCTCGGGAAAATGGCCGGCGCCTACGACCTCATGGCCGCCACGTCCCAGTTCTCGTCCCGGCGCGAGGTCAAGTGGGACGTCTGCAAGCGACCTGACACGCGGCCCGGTAAGGAGGGCCAGTGCCAGCAGTATGAGACCAAAATCGACCACTATGTCCGGATCCCGCGCGCTATCGATGCCACCATGGACAACATCCCGCCCGCCAGCTCCGGCCGCAACCCGAACGTCCTGGGCTGGATGAACTACGAGATCACGTGCGAGACTTCGGCGCTCGCGTGCGCCATGTGCAACGCCATCGGCACCTCCCTGGGCATCGCGTCCGGAACTCTTGGAGCAGGTGTTACACTTGGGTGCGCGGCGTCGGGCTGCTAAGGACTTTCTTCGACGAGGGTGGCGAGATTTGGCGAATTGTTGACGAGCTGGCGAGTCTTTGCTTGAGTAACTGTACCGAATATTGGTAACTAGATGGATTTGGAGTCATGGTGTATGCTGTTTAGTTGTTAGAGATTGGCGAGTGTTTAAATGCATTCTTCCTTGGTTTGATATCCAACGTCACTACTTGCTCTTTTTTTCAAGTTATACCACCCTAAACCTCTGAATCCTCTAGGATTGACTCACCTAATCGTCCTCAGCTCCTAACGAACTTAGGAAGTAGAGGCGTTGGATACCCCACTTGCATCTTCGTGCTGCGCTCTCCTTGCATCACTAAAAAAGCAAAACACCTTCATGGTTGATTGAGAGCGAGAATGATTGCAGTGGTGCAGTGATTCGGAGATGTCGAACTCATGAGATGGTACGTTGTCTGTGGTTTGAGAGACTGTCCAGGGACAGAAACGGTCCGGGGGTAGGGTTGTAAGTACCCGGCTTGCATTAACTATATAACGCTTAAGATATCCCGGCTCCTCTTCATCTTACTAAGCTACCTATATTAACACTCGATTCACTCTCTTTCAACAGCTTCAAAACCGCTCACTTCACTGCGTCATGTGATAGGAAATGGGCATTCTCGCCGTTCCTTCAACAGTGGCGTCGCTTTCGCGGCAGACTCTAGTGAAGATATTCGCATTAGGCGTCATTACAGCAAAGTATCGATCGACATTCGACAGACTGTCAGGCATTCATAACGTCATACGCTGAGCTATTTCTGTCACAGCTGAGCAATCCGCGTTCATGGCCAACTAAAGACGTGTAGTTGTGATCTTAATCTAGTTACGGCCCTAGGTCCCTCTACTCAAGCAAACAGCTACAATCATCTTGACCAGTTCATACTCGCCGGCGGCAGGTCAACGCGGCAGTCGCCCAAATATCTCCTTCTCATGCCCGACGGCCGGCCGCTGTACCAGCAGCAGCTCAGCCTCCTCGCCAAGGCCTGCGCAAACGCCCCCGCCATCTACATCTCCCTCGCCCAGGACTCGGTTCTTAATGACTTTCCCCGCTCCGTCCGCGTGGCCAACAGTAGTAGCACAGCAACCGCCACCACCAACATATCCGCACCGCTGGAACAAGACCCACCCCACCGCCAACATCACTGCCCACGTCCTCCCCCCCAAGCGACCTAAGTTGAAAACCCAAGTCCTGGTCCTCCAGGACCTCCCGCACAACCCCTCCCCGTCCTCCTCTCAGTCCGCCGGCCCAACGACAGGCGTGCTAACAGCCCATGGCTTCTCCCCCCACGACGACCTGGCTCACAGTCCCATGCAATTAGGCCTCCTGGAAGCATCTGTGCGAGCGGTACCAGCCGCCGGTGACGTGTTTTCGGAACGGCGACGGATTTCTGGAGCCGCTCGTTGCTGTTTGGGGACCGCAGGCTTTGGCGAGAATGGCGGCCCTGGCTAGTGAGGGCAAGCAGAGGGAGGGGACGGGTGTCAGGCCAGCGGGGATTGCGAGCGACGTCGGGGCGAGGATTATCATTATTGACGAGGTTGGCTGGAATGACGGGGCGGGGCGTGAATGGTGTGGTACGGTGTGGAGGGGCTAGTTGGGGTGAATTCCAGGGAGGAGCGGGATGCGGTTCTGAGGGTGTTGGAACAGCGGGAAGAGGTGAGGGAGGGAAGGGTCCAAACCGAAGTACTGCGCTAGTTGCGCAGGCTCGGCGACCAAGAGGACAGCGCTAGTCGGCGAGATGGGGTAACGTTCGACGAGGCCTGGCCCGCCGGGTTCTGTGATGATTGCTGAGGATTCGGGCCGAAAATGAATCCAACAGTTGGCGGCTTTGAAAGCGCTCAACTTAGAGGGGCTCTGCTCCGCGCTGGTCTCGACCATCACCTGACCCGCCGCGGATGTGGATTTTGAACTGAGTGGGTTCCTTGGCACCAAGATTCACGGACTGAGCACTGATGTCAATGAGAGACTCTCAGTCAACACAGATCCATCACAATGACGCAGTTCCTGACATAAACGTCATATCATGGCACACTGTCTCTATATAAGGGGGTAATTCCCCTTGGAGGATTAGAGAGGACAATGTTTCAAAAAAAAAAGAAAGGGACATTCTGAGGCACCCTAACCCACTATCTTGATCCTTCATTTTTGTGGTCACTCTGGAATCGTGACTCCAATTCAAGCTTCGTTTCATACCTCAATCTGTTCAATACCATTTGGTTGATCTAAGCTTACTTGAGCATGTAACTGTTGGCTGCCCAACAACTCCTGGTTCGACTGGACAGTTCGAACCACGGTCCCTCTTTTGAGGGTGTTACGCAGTGGTCAGTTGCGCCCACCCGTGACAAGTATGGAAAGCCTAGAAAAATCCAAGGGCGGGTAGCCGACACCGAGATCTCGCCAAGATGGTGCCCCCTGGAACATGCAGCGGCGCGGCAGAGGGTTCCGTGGGCCCCGGCAGACCCATCCGGAGGCCAGCATGAAATAGAAAGTACATACAATACATGCACGCCCCTGGATTGCCCTGGGACGGGAATGGTCCGCGGGTGCCGCTGATCGGCTTAGCTAAGGCGGCGACGAGCTTTCAGCTCAATATGACCTAGTCTGGGTCCATTTCTACAAGTTCTACAACCGTTATCGACTCATCAATCAACCACCTGTTTCCCGCCTCTTTGCCGCAGGCCATCTACCTACCGTATCTACCGTGTTAGGGACCTAGGATGGCTGCACCCGAGAATTTTTCCGTGCTTAGCATGTCGGCCGACCCGCTGCAGGCAACCGCTGAAAATGGTGGCTCACGGCATCGGCGCGCCAAATTGCGCGCTCAGGAGTCGCCCCGGCTATCCTCATCATCGCTCAAACCTGCTAGCACGAGACGCAGGAAAATTACGCGTGGCTTCCCCGTCTGGCTCTTCTGGCGCACCTGGGCGCTCCCTCTGGTCTTGATGCTGGCCTTCGTCTCGGCATACGCCTTCAACCCTACCGAGTCCAATCTCGCCTACCACTTCCTGTTCCTCTCCTACCGGCTCGAGAGCGGCCAGTACGGCAAGGGCCGCTGGGATCTCGCCTTCGTCTGCTTCTACACCATCTTCCTGTCCTTCAGCCGCGAGTTCCTCGTGCGGGAGGTGCTGCAACCGCTGGCGCGCCTCGGCGGGATCAGGTCGCACGCGAAGCAGGCGCGGTTCACGGAGCAGATGTACCAGGCGAGCTACATCGCTTTCGTCGGCCCGCTCGGCGTATACGCCATGAAGCAGACGCCGGGGCTCTGGTACTTTGCGACGCGCGGCATGTACGAGTCGTTTCCGAACCGAACCCACGACGCCGTCTTCAAGTTCTACTACCTGTTCCAGACTGCGTTTTGGATCCAGCAGGCCATCGTGATGCTCCTCGGTCAGGAGAAGCCCCGCAAGGACTTCAAGGAGCTCATCGTGCATCACATCATCACCATCGCCCTCATCAGCCTCAGCTACCGGTTTCACTTCACGTATATCGGCCTCGCCGTCTACATTACGCATGACATTAGCGATTTCTTCCTGGCCGTAAGTGCCATCCAATTTCATTTCATGTCGTGATCCCTGTACGCACGGTGGCATAAGGCACCTTTAGCTGACCCTCTCAGCTGAGTAGGTGTCTAAATCGCTCAACTATCTGAACCACCCGAGCCAGGCTGCGTCGTTTGCGCTCTGCATCGCGGTGTGGACGTACCTGCGACACTACATCAACCTCCGGATCCTGTACTCGGTCGCGACCGAGTTCGCCACCGTCGGACCCTACGAGCTCGACTGGGAGACGCAGCAGTACAAGTGCTGGATCTCCCAGATCATCACCTTCGCGCTGCTGGCCGCGCTGCAGGCGCTCAACCTGTTCTGGCTGTACTGCCTGTGCCGCGTCGCCTACCGCTTCGTGTTCCTGGGCATCGCCAAGGACGACCGGTCCGAGGCGGAGGAGTCCGAGGCCGAGGCCGAGGGCGTGGAACGCAGGAAGACCCTGAACCTGGAGTCGTCGAAAGCGGTTGAAGAGAAGGGTGAGGGCGAGGGCACGGAGGCTGCGCGATCCGGGCGGCGGACCAAGCTCAGGGGATAGGAGTCGACATAGAGCCCGAGGCCGCAGCAGCTTTTGGCGGCTTGAATTTTGCGCGCCTTGCACTTCAACTCGGGTGTGCGGTCTTGATCGGGAACTGTGGTTGGATGGTGAGAGCTGTAGGTTTTTAGCATGGGTATAATATTAGATTAGGTCAGGGCTGGCCACTGGTGATGAAGTAAGTAATGGTCATATGATGAACGCTGAGGAGAATTGATTGTAGTAATGTATTTAGTCTCGATACATGAAGCCACCTATCTATTTAGTACAGATCAGCCCCAGGGCACGAACCCACTCGCCCCCACCGCACCTGCTGCCGTCTGCCCGGTCTCCGACTTGCCTCCTCCTCCTCCTCCGCCGCCGTCGCTGTCGCCGCTGCTGCTGTCGCCGCTGCTGCTGTCCGTGGTGAGGGCGACGGCGTGGGCGGCCAGCTCGGCGCGTACCCGCGCGAGCACGTCCGGCCGCGAGAAGAGCTCCCACAGCGTCCAGTAGAGCGTCGGGGCAGACTTACTGAAGGAGACGATGGTGAAGATGGCGGCCTGCTTGGGCTTGTCCGAGTCCGGGACGCCCGCGTCGTCTAGGAGGCGCCGGTGTTCCCTCATCGAGTCCGAGGCGTCAGGTGGTAGGGACTAGCAGTACTTGGCGTAGGCTTGAAAGACCTTGTCGCGCACCGCGTAGCCTCGGCCCGTGATGTCGAGCCAGCCGACCAGGTGCGCCGCGAGGTACTTCATTCACTTCCTGGCGTTCGGGTCTTGGGTAAGATACGCCATGGATACTGACGAAGGTTCTGTAGCGCCTTACCAGTATGCGCTCTCAACATCCGGGTCGACAAACGGGTGCTGCTCCCCGTAGACGGCGCAGCTGGTTGCTTGGACGATAGTGTGCCGCGCCCACTGGAGAAGATAGACTTCCCCGGACTTGAGAAAGTCGTCAATGTCAACCAAGACCCGCTGGCCCATCCGCATGTTGTGCATGTTGAGGTTATCCAGGTTCGGCCCGGGCAGCAGGCCCAGCTTTGCTGTGTGGCTCAGGTCGTCGGGCAAGCTACCGCCAAAGATGTCGTACGCCGCGGCCGAGGCATCCCCATACTTACGCGCCGTGAGCTGGAGGAAGGGCCGGAACGAAAGCGCCTTAGACTGCTTCTGTATTATGGGCAGAAGCTGTTGGGCAGCCAACAGTTACATGCTCAAGTAAGCTTAGATCAACCAAATGGTATTGAACAGATTGAGGTATGAAACGAAGCTTGAATTGGAGTCACGATTCCAGAGTGACCACACAAATGAAGGATCAAGATAGTGGGTTAGGGTGCCTCAGAATGTCCCTTTCTTGTTGGAACAGAGAATTGTCCTCTTTAATCCTCCCAGGGGAATTACCCCCTTATATAGAGACATTGTGCCATGGTATGACGCTATGTCAGGGACCGTGTCATTGTGATGGATCTGTGCTGACTGAGAGTCTCGCATTGAACATCAGTGCTCAGTCCGTGAATCTTGGTGCCAAGGAACCCACTCAGTTCAACAGAAGCCGGCTGGAGGCGTTGACGTAGGCCTTGAAGTTGAGCACCGCCAGGGTGTAGATTTCGGCGCCGGCAGCCTCGCTGTGGGGTTGCTCGAGTCAGATGCAGGTGAACGAGGAGAACGAGGCTGATTGAGCCTTTCCAACCTGGTTTTTTAGTAATAACTTGGCCTATGCTGTATGAGCCCAAGCATGTGTCCGATGATGGGGAATCTGGGACGGATCCGCGGCGGCTCCCTGGGGTTATCTGGAGGCTGAATAGAAAGTCTACTGTATAGGCCAACAGGATAATGCCCGTAAGGCCGTACGCCAGTTCATGAGTCCTGATAAGCCTGGTTGAGGAGGTACTGCTCTGCGATGGAAGCCAACGGAGAAATGGGATGCGATGAGATAGAAGTGAAGCGTATTTAGTGCAGTATCAGTGTATATAGTATCACCGGCCCAGGGGCACTTGGTGTCGGACGTTCGACCCTCCCATGCGTCGGCCGTTATACAGTGGTAGTGGAGTTTTGGGTTCGGAAAATTGAGCACGATCCTTCCGATTCCCACTCAACGTCACGTTCCTAGCGGTCCGAGTCGGTGCGTAAGGTGAGGTACACTACATGTAAGTAGGTATCAAAGCAGACGCACGTCCACATTGTAAGGTATCTATGTAACGTTAGTACATTCATACATCAGGTATGGATAGATGGATGGAATTATTTCGCCCGGAGACACGAAGCCTAAAGGGCCTTGGCACGCTAACTACATCCAATTCGTTGACGTTTTGGTCATCAACTCGTACTAGCCCTCTACTCTTTCCCCTTCCTCACGCCACTAACTGCTGCCTCTTGACCTGGTTTTCGGCAGATCGACTTGGAAGCTGCGTTCTCCAAGTGTTCAGCGTCCTATCTTCAGCAGCTAAAGCGGGATCTGCTGGCTGAGGCTGTATGGTGTTAGTGGAGTTCCCCTACTGTGAATGCTCCAATCTCCGTCCTTCCTCGTCAAGATCCAATCTCCCTGTCGCCATTGCGTACTGAATCGTTGCCTGGACTGCTTTCATGTCTGGCGACCACATCTTTGGATCCGATGGTGCTTTCCCTCGCAGGTAGAATGAGAGGCTCCCTCGCCTTGCCACTGTACATTGCAACATGTCTTCCCTCAGAGCTGCCCATCTCACGCAACGCAACAGAAAATGTTCCACTGTTTCCCTCGTTCGGCCGCAGGGACAAAGGTCTGATTCGACCGCTCCGATTCTGCTCAGAAAGCCGTTCAGCCTCGCCATTCCGGTTCGGAGCTGTGCCAAGATACAGGCCTCTTTTCGTTTCAACTTGTCGTAGAGATCGCGAGTATGCTTGCCAGGTAGTGCCACGTCCAGAGCCTTTGAGGATTTGCCTACGCCTTCGGGAAGAACTCTCCCCTGTCGTTGTTTGGGCAATGCCAGCCTGATTTCGGTGGACTTGGCTTGGGGCCTTTGGAGGTTGGGTATCTGTCCTTGTCTCGTTGTCCTTTGTGCTGCCGCCTTGGCCTCTAAGCCCAACGTAAAGTTGGCTTCCGCTGGGATCCACAGGAAGTCGACCGAGTTCCCTCTTTCTTGGTGCAGTCTAGCCAACTCGTAGATTTGTCGTATGGTGACTTGGCAGGACTGTTGTCGCGGTTGCCTAATTGCTGCTAGCGCTGACTGCTTCCTGGTGACGATGGTGATATGCCTATGGCAGGCGTTGGCCGGAATCTTCTCCAAGGCCATTGCGATAGCTGCTAGTTCTGCTGTATATAGGTTCTGCTCCTCCCTCGTGCTAAGGGTTACAGCAATCTTGTCACGGTCTCGCTGGTCCTGTTGAAGAGAGCGTGTAACGGGCTGGGCCGGGTGTGAGGCTCGGCGACTCTCGGCCAACACCAAGACACCTGATGAAGCTATTCCCACTCGCCCCAGAGCACACCGAACCTTCTAGCAACGCGCCCAGACCAACGCGCCGACGAGGATAAGTATGCTTGCGAGCTACCAGAGTCTGTCGTCTCTCCTTT